AGAACATTTATATGCAGTTGTACTTCGCAGCACTTCACTTGCAATTTGCAATTTCTAGTTTTTATTCACTATAGCTACCAAATTTGAGATATTTTATTCTCAGAAAAGTTGTAGTTACCCAATTACAAACGTTACTCCGAATAAAGAAAGGGAGGCCATGGTTCAACGTTTTGACCTTTATTGGGTCATCTTCAGGAATGAGAATACTTTAGACACTGATTACAAAAAATGCTACAGTTATGTAAATGAGGTGATTAAACAAGTCTAACAATGGTGATTAAGAGAGAGGCAATAGTGTTGATTAGATTAATTAACAGATAAACAATTTTGATAGGAATATACAGACACTTACTTCACAATAGGCTTTGGCCCGTAGGTCAAATAGAGCAATAAAAGGCATCATTTTTTTTTCATGAAGCAAAGTCTCAGAAAGAGGCTTTATGGAGGTGGATTGTCCCAATTCATCAAAAGACTTTGAGAAGGGATAGTGCCAGCTTATCATTAGACATGAAGGCGGGATTGTCCCAGCCCATCATGATTGTTGGAGGAAGGATGATCCCTGTTCACCATGAGACTTGGAGAAGGGATGGTCCCTGCTCATCAGGAGACTTGGAGAAGGGATGGTCCCTGCTCATCAGGAGACTTATGATGATGGATAGTCTCAGCTCATCAAGAGAGTTGGAGGAAGGATAGTCCCAGCTCACCATGGAACTTTGAGAAGGATGTTCCCATCTCATCTAGAGAGTTGGAAGAGGGATTGTCCCAGCTCATCAAGAGACTTTGAGTAAGGATGGTCTCATCTCATCTAGAAAGTTGGAAGTGGGATGGTCCAAGCTTATCAAGAGACTTGGAGGAAGGATGGTACAAGCTCATCAAGAGACTTTGAGTAAAGATGGTCCCATTGCATCTAGAGAGTTGGAAGAGGGATGGTCCAAGCTCATCAAGAGACTTGAGTAAGTAGGGTCCCATCTCATCTAGAGACTTGGAAGAAGGATGGTCCCAGCTCATCAAGAGAGTTGGAAGAGGGATGGTTCCCTCTCATCAAGAGACTTCAATGAGGGGTGGTCCCAGCTCACCATGAAAATTCAAGGGTGGATGGTTCCATCTTATCACATTACTTTGAAGATGGACGGTTTCAAATGAAAAGTCTTGTAAATTTAATCTTTACAAAAGTGCATTTTACATTTTTTTTTTTTAACTTTCTTCACAGCCAGAGAACATAGTATTGGAATCTTCGCGTTCAAAGATAAAGTTGATTGATTTTGGTCTGTCTCGCCAGGTGTCATCCACTGAGGAAATCCGTAACATGTTAGGGACACCAGAATTTATTGGTGGGTATATTACATGAAATTCGCTGTCTTGTACTCTCTAGTAGTATTTTCTAAACTAACATGTCTTTATTAATATTGCCACCACAGTAGCTTTCCAATCCCTATTACAAATTTTGTATCAGAAGTTAAAATGTAGATCCATTCAATTATTATTGACAAATTATTTTGAGATTTTGTGGTTTTCCTTGATTACTTACAATGAATAATATAATGTAAGCATAACAATACCTGCATATATAGGTGTAATGTTTCTCCTGACGCAAATCCAGTTATTGTCTATTATTCCATCACGACAATAACAATTACTATCAATACCTGCATATATTCCAGAAAATAATAGTATTTAAAACCAAATTGGATTTTAATTTTCTACATGACTGCAAGACATTCAGTGTTTTCCTTAAGTTCATTGTGGTAATTATTATGATTTAAAAAAAGTCCCTTTTCAGTTATGATCCATTTGATAGGGAGAAGTTGACTACTTGAACTCATTCTATCAGAACATAATTTGCCAAATAAATTGTTATTGAAGTTAACCTTATAAGAATATAGAAGGCATATTGAAATGAATTGTTTATTATTTCACTTCCTTGGCTTCTTCAGTGCATATTTTTATTTTAGACTTGAAGGCCCTGTCGCAGAACTGCAATATTAGAATTCAAAATGCTATTTTAACATCAGATTTTATATTTCCTTGTTAGTAATGAGGCTTGAGTGGTTCAAATTGACAAAATTATTCCCCATCCATTTATCTTTCCTTATCCAGTAATATTTGCCACATGCTTTTAGAATGGAATAAAAACATTGGCATTGTACTTGAAATGAAACACAAAATTTGAAAATAGCATTGTTGTATATTTCATTTTATTTTTACATAAAGAAGTGGTTTAGATTGGATTGTCATTCCCTGTACATTATTATTTGATGATAGACTAACCCTTTACTGTCTGACCCCATCATAATGTTAATATTAAACTGAGGTCAAATTGATCTGTCAAATTTCATAAAAGATAATAAAATATTTCTAATTATAATAATTTGCCTAGTAGCATTCATAGTATGGAACCTACCACAACTGGATTACTCTGATCCCTACAGGAAAATGTTAAAGGAAAGAACAAATGTCATAACATTTGGTTGAAAATCTGTAATTGTGTGACATAAAATTAGAGAGTAGAAAAGATGTGATGGTGTAACAAGGGTTGACATGATGTCATGTAGCAAAATATTAAAGGAATTTTGTGATTATTTCTGCAAATGTCAGTGGATTAATACCACATTCTTCATATTTATGTGATCATAATGCATTTTGGTGTGCATTCAAGCTCTTGTCTTTGTGGAATGTATGTGCAATATCACACAGAAACATATCATTATCATTATCATTATTAAAATATTAATTCCATAAATCTTGTATAATATATATTTTTTATGTAAATGCTTAAATGTGAAGGGCATTCTGCTTATAGATAGTGAGGGATGTTAAAGCTGATCACTATTTCCTCTTACTTAGTGGGGAATGGATTCAATGGGGTTTTAAAATTAGGTGATTAAAGGAAGAAACAGATCCTGTTACTGTCTCAAGTTTGTTTTTGATCCTGAACATGGCCCATTGAAAGTAAAAACATTTAGATTCAAGCCTTTTTATTTTGAGTTTATTCCATGATCCTGTTTTGTCATATTTAAGTGAAAATTATATGGAAATAATAATAATAATAATAATAATAATAATACATTAATAATTATAAATTTAATTGATTTTTATATTGAATGTTTAACTGTCTGATTTTTCTTGCAAAGTAATAACTTGTTTTATTAACCAAATTGAATGCATGATTATCATAATAGCATTGCTATTACTACTCCTAGCTTTATAAATACTGTACATGGAATCTAAATTATACAACGGTAGATTTGTGGCTGTAGTAAGTAATAATATCCTGCTAATTACATGGCAGTAAACAAAACTGTTAAACTTTCTTAGAATTATACTACTGTGTCATATCTGTACTAAACCCATTAAGTCTATGGAACCCTTGAAAAAATGAAGGTCATGAAGAAAGCAATGTTTTGGTCTGAATAGCATGTTTGATAGCTGTTTATGCTCATAAGTGTTGAGGTACTTCATATCATAATTCATTTTTATATTTTCATTATTTATTTGATTACAGTATATCATTTTAATAATATTTCACCTCCATATACTCATCACTTTTTATTTGTATATCGAATTTTGTTTTCATCTATTGTACTAGACCTTTTAATTTATTGGTCTTTGAATTGTATTTTACTGAAGTTGTAAACATCTGAATTATAACTATGTAATCTGTAGTATATACACGGGTTGCGGATACATTCGTGTTATGGCGCATTGTTGCTTTTTGTTGTTTTACTTCATTTTTTTTTAAATTAGCTCCAGAAGTTGTCAATTACGAACCACTGGGATGTGCTACTGACATGTGGTATGTATAACAGTTATTGAAATTAATATAATTTTATTTATTTGTGTATAGGTCATAGATGGATACTCTGGCTTGTACAGGTTCTACTACCTTTACTTTACTTTGTTATTGTTATCTATTTTAAGTCCATTAAGCATTTAGTTTACAGGTTCTACTACCTTTACTTTACTTTGTTATTGTTATCTATTTTAAGTCCATTCATTTCAAATTTCTCTCATTCTTCCTAATGCTCACTGTCCTTTTCCCACCCACATTGTGTTTACAAGATAGCACACACAACATTACTGACCTCTTCCTCAATTTAATGCCTAATTACAAACAAGGCGTCAAATGTACGAGGTACCTAACAATAGATAATGGGTCTCAATGCCTGGTAATGCCATCTGCTACAGACCGGTAAAGTATTTGCATTAAGACTTCTTTTTTTTTTTACTTTTGTACATAATTTCTAATAATCAAACTATTTGCTTAAAAATGTCATGTGATATTTAAGGAATGTGTTGTTAACTCTTATGTTTATTCTTCAGTAAGTGCTATTTAGACAAATTCATGCATGTCTCTACTGGTACAACATCTTTTGTAGGTATGTTTCATTATGCAACTCAAGTTCTACTCTGGTGGATAATAAATAAAAATTTAAAAGCAATTTGAAAAAAAAAAAAACGATTACGGAATCACATAGAGACCAGGATGTAAATATTAAATGAATGAATGCGAGTCTGACAACATAATGCCATAGACTCATGGGAACTGGCTTCAGGTATTTGCTGACAATAACAAAATATGTAGGAGCCTCTTTAATTCAATACATAATAAAACGTTACTTGAAATTATAAAATTGTACAAGTGTTCATTGGCATGACCTTTTACCTTTGAATTTAACCTAAAAATATAATGACAGTTGTAAACAAGACAGTTGCATGCAAACGCTATTGTTTGTATTGCTTTTTTTTAACCTGTCAGTCTATGTATATTGTTCTCTCTATAGTAGTTGGAAAAACAATTCATCTGGTCTACATTGCTTCGAATTGCTGCGGAAATACCAGCTACGTATTTCGTATTATTGCTACATTAGACCAGCATATATTTTAAGTCTTTTTAGAATTTGTATATTATATCAGGATCAGAATAACATTTATTTTTTTCAAAGTGAAATATTTTGTTTAAAATTTGATATCCAATATTAAGTATACTTGCTAATTACAGGATGGAATACTTAAGTGTTATTTAGCTAGTGTTTTTATAAGGCTTGGGAATGGAGTCATGTAGTTAAAGGTAGTTGTTCATATATAGAGCTATTTTTGTAGATAATAATTAGCTGTTAAAGAAAAGTGGATTTTAAATCAGTTTCTAATAATATATTTTTTCTGGTAACTTCCCGAAATAGTGAAGTTTCCTACAGTAGTTGTCTTGTCCATCATTGATAGCTGATAAACAGTTTTCAATAGTTTATATATAGCTTTATAAATTAGTTACTTTTACGTCTTAAACTAGGCTTGTAAATTTTACGTCTGTTGAAATAGGCTTGTAAATTAGGTTCAAAATAGTTTACTACTGTACTATTTATATAAAAACAGTATTTACCACAACCATATATTTCCAAGTAGACATTAGCCCTACAAGTCTAGCTATTAGATAGTACACAAGATTTATTAATAGGCGATGTTGCTAATCCATTTAAAATATCCGCAAAATATGGTAATGAACCAAAAACTACTAAAAACTAGTAAATTTATTAACTCCAGTGCATTACAGGTAGTCTAGTAACATCTGCTACTGAAGCCTAAAAGCTGTCATAAAATCTATTACAGTCGTATTACTGAAAAAAGTAGAACTGTAGAGCTGTCTACTCAATTTTGCTATGGGGGAAGCAAGCTTATCAACCTCTAGGCTACAGCTCCATTCATTATGTTTTGTGTTACTTGTGTTATATCAAGTAGAATTAGTAATAAAATCACATTAGTCACTAATGGCATTTGAACTTAGTCAAATATTACATCACTTGAACTGTTTGTGAGCATATGCTGTATCCTATTGCATGACTCTCGTACAATCAGTTTATTGTGCATCAATGCTCTATGGTATTCTCATATTTCTCCCTAAGAATTTCATACAAAACCATGTTTATCTATCAAATAATAATTTGCAGACTGAAACCCCATGGCTATAGATAAAACGTCTTTTCTTACTACTTATCTAATTATCATTATTGCTTTTTTCCAATTAAGAAAATATGTTATATATTATGTTTATTAATACTTTTATTTGATTAATAGGTGTTGATATATAGGCCTATACAATATTACATAATTTCTCAATCACTATTGCTCCATTAAAAATTACTGTAACATTTGTTTTAAATGTTGAAAATGATAGAATTTTATTATTTATCTCATTGCTATAAACATTACAACCTTACAGCTGACCCAATTTTGCATAACATCTCATTCCTTGAGAAACAGGGCTCTAAATTGTGTTTCTAAAGAGTGCTTGTGGATTTGATGAACTTATTAATGGTTCTGATTCTGATGCTTTTGTGCTTTCCATCCACAGGGCCATTGGCGTTATAACCTACATCCTGTAAGTATTTCACTGGGTTTTGTTCTTTACAATGAAGACAATGGTACGTGTCCAGTGATTCAGTAAATAATCATAATTCATGGAAAGCTTACAAAAGGAATCATATCGAACTACAAAATTAAAAATATAGAAAAATACCTACTTATTGATAATATCTGATGGTGGTTAATTGCAATTATAAATTGTAAACACAACTAACTGGATAGTACTACTGAAATCTGATGAAAGTATGGAAGAGAAATTATAACTTAAAAAGTCATTTGCACATTGCAATTGGTTATTGAACTACAAAAAAAAAATTTAGTCAAGTGGAACTCAATGTGGATATGCAATTTCAAGAAGGAACTATAAAGTATATTAAGTTGTGTTTTTTTTTTCTTTTCTTTTCTTTTATCTGTTTTAGATTGAGTGGTGCATCACCTTTCTTGGGAGATGATCAACAAGAAACTTACCAAAACATTGCAAGTGTGGATTTTGAATTTGATGAAGAATATTTTTCAGGGACTAGTGAATTAGCAAAGGATTTCATAAGAAAATTGCTCGTCAAAGATCCCAGGTGAGGACTTTTAAGATTCTACATATGGGTGAGCAATTCTGGTGATATGAAGATTATATGAGACTGCTAAAAACAGGGGTTTTTAAAGAGGGTTTTGTGAGGGCTGCTATTGAAGATAAGGTGTGTACTGAGACATCTTTTAAGTGCATGAGGAGTGTGCTTTAAACTCCAGTATTAAAGTCTAAAGAAGTTTGTAGCGTGTAAGGACACATTAGATTGAAAAGGAGGGAAGCAGTACTGTATATGTATGTGAAAAGTCATGTAAATTAAACCAAACTTGTTTTGTATGTTGTCGTTTGTATGATTTTATCAAAACAAAAGGGCCAAAGTAATCAAGTTGTCTTACCGGTATATTCATATATTCTCAAGAACTAAGAAGTATGTCAATTTTGTTTTTCTTAGTAAACGGTCAACAGTGGAGGAATGTTTACAACATCCATGGATTAAGGTAAATCTTTATCAATTTTCTGAATCATTATGTGAGAATGCTGCTGAATGCATTCCGATTTCTAGTTATTTCTGTATTGGTTGTGTTTTTAATCGTTGCTATTAAGATTGCAATGACAGATATATTACCTATATTCATAAGGTAACTCAAAGTAGTTATCAAATTATTCTCCCTTAATAACCTACTCAAATGGCCTATGTCACATGATACAGATCAGCCAATTAATGCCTTTATTTCTGGTGAGATATGAAAACTATGCCAGGGTATGATGTAGGATATTATAAACAGCTAATGTATATAATTGGACAGTGATACTGAAAGGTAAATTATATTTATGTTGTTGATTGCCAAAGTGTTACCCAGGAAAGAAAGTCGCTTTTTGAATGCCTGGCATGTATGTATCCATGTAGTATAGTTGAATATCTCATACTTATATGAATGCTTTTTTTCTCAGAATTATGGGGGTAGAAAATAACTATATTATAATATTTATATTGATAATAATTATACAAATATATAAATTACAAAAAAATCAGCGACATTATGTATGTTAAGGCTAATGTAGGTTTCAAAGAGATGAGTTTTTAAAGACAGATTTATATGTAACGATAGAGGTAGATGACCAAATAGATAAAGATAAGTAATTTCGAAGGTAGAGGTAGATGCATAGGTGCTTTGGTCATAAGTACAGTAGCAACTAAATAGCTACTGAATAGTTTATAGGTTTTTCAGACAGAGCAAGTATACAGAAATATTACTGTATGCCTAGCCGGCTTGGTTTCTGTCTGAAAGGGTGAAGCTGCCAATTTTCCTGTTGGCGATCAACTCGGACCCTACCAGTGTTACCGCAAGCATTATGCTCTCTGTCGCAATAGAATATAATTGGCGGATGATTTCAGTCTCACGCTGTTATGTATCAACTTACCAACTTCAAAAACCAAGTTTGTATAAAATGAATCAGAGAGAAAATGGAAGATAAGATGTGGTACCAAACTATGAGAAATGTGGAAAATATAACAGATAAATAGATCTGCATAAAAAACATAGAATCCCAACAATTTACACTTTATTCACAATTTCACTAATTTCCAATATAATAATGTGTTGGGCATGTTGAGTTCAATTAAGTATTGATTGAATCAAGAAGTCATTAGTCATCTGCGGATATCGTAAATTATATTCAGAATAACAATCAGTTCCATAATGAGAAGTGAAATTGAGTCCAGTATGATTCATAGCTTTATTGAGAAGTGAAATTGAGGATCATTTATGTATGAGTTACAAGTATAATAATTTGATTACACCTTGTAATCAACATTTAATTATTAATTCATTTACAACCTTGTTCAGCAGGGTACACCCATTATCTTGTGATGCTAATTATTCTGTTTTTTCCCCTCTAGTATTTTAAGTATACAGTATGTTTTTAAATTGGAAAATTTAAGTTTTACATTTTTTTAAATTATTTTGTTGTTTGTTTTTTTTTTTTGTAGCCTGTGAGTGATGAACAAGGAAAGATACGCAAGGAAGCTCAAGTAAACGTATCTAACTTACGATCTTTCAATGCTCGCAAGAAATGGAAGGTAAATGCCAAATAGTGTAAGGGTTTTCACAGGTATTTATGATATCCTGGCCCCTATCTACCATCATCTATAACACTATCAAATTATAGAGCCATTGATTTGTTACTTCAATGTATATAGAAATTAAAATTTGAATTTGCATTTTTTGTTGTAAATTGTGTTTGAATAAAGTAAATAAATAAAATGAGACAATGTACACAAAGTTCTGAATAAGACAATGAATATTAACGTAATAATAAATAATGTTTTCATGAATGGTATTAAACATCGATAATTGTTACTGAGATTAGGAGAGTCAGGGAGTTGAGGGGGGGGGGAGATGGAAGCAGGTTGAGGGAGGTGGGGAGATGGAGTGGAGTAGAAGAATGGAAATGTGTGAGGTAGTTGGGGGGCAGGAAGCAAGATTTTAAGCGGGTGGTGGATAGGCATATCCTACACATTACTTTTAATGTAATAAGAACATGACAAAAGAAAAGTGCAACATTGAGTGATAAAATCTTTGTACAATCTCCTTGAGCTATTCTCTTTAATTATTTCCTGTTCTTTTTTTGGATTTCCTATTTCAAATTCACCTACTAAACCTTACCCAATTTTAGTGTAGTGTAGTGAAATATTATTAGACTATCAACTAGCCTTATATGTTTCTTGTACTGTAGTTATTATGCTTACATCAATATAGTTTGCATGAGGTCTTCAGTTGAATGGAAGTGTAAAGTGTTTTTAAATTTCTATGTCCTGGCCTTAAACCCCCCCGAAGCCTCATAGCTGAACATGCTTTGTACATGCGCATAGCATTGTCCTTTCACATCAAGTCATTGGCAAGGTACTCATATGCAAATGATACAAACAATTTTGAGTTGATGATGCACTGTATTTGGAATGTATGCTTTGAAAATTATGATCTAAAAACTATTATAATATTTCTTATTGCAAAATTTGCATTCATATTAGGTTGGTAACAAAACAAATAAACTGAAATACATTCACAATATGGATAGACGCCAGTGATGACAAATGCTAATTTATAAATTGACGTTTTTTTTTTATGGTTTTGCAATCTAGAAGTTTGTAAGCTCACTACAAAAATGGAGAGTAATAAATGAGAGTTGATAGATAAAAAGTCATGAAAAATTGGATATAAAATTATATTAATTCTACTATAAATTTGTGTATACTGTATGCTATTTTCATTTGTTTCAAGTTGGTCCCAATGTTTTTTAAAAATCATTAATGTTTCCATAATTTTTAATAACTGAATAATTTCTCGTAATTAAATAATTGCTTTTAATGTGTGTAATTTTACTTTCTTATATATATATTTTTTTTAAATTAATTTTCACTGTACTGTATTGTATAAATTCTCAGTGTTTTTTGAAAATTTTAATGTTTCCATAAATAATTGCTTGTATAGATTATAATATTGTATATTTTATCGTACCCTGTTTTATGTCCTAGGGGCTGGGGGCACCACTTGTGGTGTTATGGCGCTCTGTTGCTGACACAGATGTTTGTGCCAGTAAAATAAATGAAAAGAAATGGTCCAACGTAATGTGGACTTGGTTTTTACATGACATGTGCTCTTGGTTTTTACATGACATGTGCTAATATTTGTGTACCTTGCATGACTTTGTTTTTTGACAGCAATCTATGAGAATCGTCTCACTCTGTAATAGGTTGTCAAGGAAGTTCAGAATTCAAAGTAATAGCAGTTTGACTACGGTAAGGATTTGATATTTCAATTTTTTGTTATATCTTTTAATACATGCTGCAGTAATTACAACAAAAATTAATAAACATTATATATTCTTTTTAAATAAACGGTAGAATAGTTCTTATTGCTTGTAGAGTGTATTCCAGCCTACTAGTTATTTTCAAATACTACTTTACTTCTGCTTCTCTGTTTTATTACATAATTTCATAGATTAAGAAACAATTCCATACTTTTATTATCATTTTATTTATTGAATTGACCAGCAATTGAATGATTAGATTGCATAAATCTGTACGTTTGAAATCAGCATTTGTTGATAACTTCTCTTACTATTTTATGTCAGAAAGTGGTCCAGTTAATTTTAAAGCATTATGAAATTATTATAGATACTAATTTATTCTTAAATAGATGACAACCAAAACATGAGAAGCAGAGGAGTAGTTTGTTTCATTTTATTAACATTTTGACCAAAAGACAACAGAATAACAAAAGAGAGCTTAAGTAAACACACAACTATAAATTTTACATGTCACCTGCAAGATGCTTTATACTAGGTGTAGTTGGATAGGCTTAGTAGATAGAAAAAACATCATTATATTTAATACAATACATGTTACAATTGGAACCTTGATTTATAAATTTGGAATATAAAAATCCTCTATTTCGTTGCTGACGTCATTGAGGATTTTCCAGTAAACTGCAATTTGACTGGTTCCCGTTTTAAGTAATGTTTACATATTGTACAAATAATTACCTCTTGCAATTCATTAACTTTGCTGCTGTTAGAGAACTTGGATGAAATGAATTTGAACAATCAAATTCATAGTTTGAACTGCGCATGCCCATATCAAGGTGAATCATCATAAACAAATATACACAACATAAGATTACGTGGAATAAGATTATTTGAATTTGATATCTTGCATTATAAACCATTGTTTAATATGTGCTTTCCATCTCTGTAGTCATACAAGTTCCCAGCACCATGTTATATATAAAATCAAGGTTTCACTGTATTATTTTAGTTTCATTTGTGTTATGATCTGCATGTAATAGAATTAATATCAGGCATGTATACATTGATGCCTTTTCCTTGCAATTTCCAAGTGTTTACAGGTTCGCCATTGAACCAGCCAGCAAAATAACAAATTGCAAAAGAATTTCTGCTAATATTTTTATACTTAACATTTACATTGTTTAGTATATTGATATTAAGTCTATAATTACCTTAATCATTGTAATCATAATTAAAATCTATACCACTATCAATTTTACTTTATATTTAATTTTCCTCTTTCTCATTGCCTGCCAATAACTCATGTAAAATAAAAACAATATATGAATATAGACATGTAGAATTTATCAATGTTTTTAGTACAGGCAGTGAAGATTTTAATTACCTTAATTAAATGATTAAATAGTTTAATGAAAGCAAATTATCCTATATGTAAGTGTGTACTGTAAAGTAAGTAAAATAATGCTGTGAATTCAGAGTTAATTTTCAAAAGAATTCAGTTTTGACAGAAGTGGTAGGAAAGTTGGTTCCCTTTAAATTGACCGAAGAATGTCAAAACAAGACAATATGATAATACCAGTGGATTTTTGCCGTGGATAATTTTCCATGGTTGTTTTGTCAACTTTTGTCACAAAATAAAATCTGTCTGCTGCCCTCTCTCATTCATAGTGAAACAGTGCAGTCAAATAAGTTTTCATTAGTGTTTGGAGTTCAGGTGTCTTACTCAGGTAGTGATCAGGTGTGCACATGCAACGCACTTTCAGGTAATGACAATTTATTTCAAAATTGTAAAAGCTGTTATCATTCGTACTGTTGATTAATATGAACAGTGACCTCGAGTGATTCTGCCAATTTTAATGGCATTGATAATGATGTGGCATACACTTTATGGCTATATATACTATATGTAATATTATGTATGCATTACAGCAATATATACTACAGTATAGAAATCGAATAGACTTGTTATTAAGCAGTGGCGAATTCAAGGGGGGGGGGGCTCCCCCCAAAATAAAAAAAAAAATATAAAAAAATTGAGAAAATGCAACATTATCAAATTGAGGTCTGAGAGTGCCATTTCCGGCCATCTGCATCATGTGTCATAATCATAAATTTTCTTACCTCAGCCCCAACCATGGTGGGGCTGAGGTGGAACTCCCACCCTGGGCCCCCTCTATTTCAAATTCATGCATCTGCTACTGTATTGAGTCAGTAATTATAAGCAATTTTCAGTTTTATTTCTTTTACAGTGCATAATGATGTTGATTTAACAACTTTGCAATTCGTACTCTGCCTCAGTATGGTTCATTTGCAAAATCTTAATGTATAGGTGTGCTACATTTAGTTTGGATTTATGGAAATGTATATTTTACTGTTACTATAGTCTGCATTGATCAGTCTCAATCATACTGACATGAGAAATCGATTTGATCATATCAATCGATATGTTGATTGTACAAGTATGTTACAATGCATATAAATAAATCTCTAGTGTATTTGTGTATGCAGCAGTTAGCAAGTCTAAACACATGGCGTTTGTGAGGTGTTGTTAAGTCATCCATCCGTGTCGCTTATAATTTGCACCAATTTATGACTATTGATTTTGGGAACAAACTGATTTTTGATAAATAATTTGTTAAGACCAATATAATAGACAATAATTCCCCAATATTAAATTTTTTGCTGAGTCATACTTGCCAATTGTTTTATTCAGATGTTTAAATAGCTGAAATTTAAGTATTGTGTGGTATTTATTTATCAGCACAAAGTATAAACATTTTGATCGGTGGCTAGTGGTTCGGGCATTCAGTAATGGTTTTTCATCTTTTTCATCAAATATTATTCATATTCAAGCATACGTAAGGTAGATTAGAGTATCTCTTTATGTAAGACTCCTTTTATTTTTCTTTAATATCTCCAGTTTGACTGAGTTTTGTTAGCCCGTGAGTGGCCTTTAGCCTGGTTTTGGGCAAATTCTCATCGAAAAGGAGCTTGAAAGTTCATCAGTTCAGTTTTGCTTTCTACTATCTGACTGTGTTTCATAATGTATACATATCTCTTTCTTAAATAACAATTGAATACAGTAATTGAAATATAAATCAAATTTTTATTCAGCTTGATTACAGTTAAGCAAACAGTTAAATTTCATTGTTTTACAGTAAAATTATATTAAAATTTTTCAAGAGAAAACTATTTCTTCCATTCTTTTTTGCATTAAACTGCACAAGCTGTAGGAGGCAATGTGATTGTGGTGAGATTAAAGGATGTTTATACTGTTCTAATCAGTATTATTATTTGATGTAGTATAAATTGCAAGTTGACATGCATATGATTCAGCGGCAGGGCGGCTGCGGGCCCCGGGGCATCTTAGCCGCCCAGGCCCATTGGTTGGGGGTCTTTTGGCCGCCCAAGGCCCGTGCGGTAGCGAGGGGCAGATTCCTGGAGGCCCTTCAAAAGGACCTTTTAATGGATTAATGACTAATTTAATCAATTATAGAGTGCCTTCACCAGGTCATGAAAAATACAGTATAAAAACATAAAAAAGTAAAAGCTATCCTTCCTTTTATTCAAACGAGATGAAAAGATTCATAACATAGGTATCAAAGTTTACAGTGGCGGATGTAGGAATTTGAAATAGAGGGGCCCCAGAGAAGGACTTTCACAGATGGACGGTCTGTCTACCTCAGCCACACCATAGGGCTGAGGCAAGAAAATTTGAGTAGAATTTTCTTTTTTTCTCAATTTTTGTTACATCTTGAAAGATTTAGGGGGTGGTGCCAAGCCTCCCCTTAAATTCACCACTGGTTTAATGTATTAATTTAGTATTTATTTGACAATCAAATCTCTATCAGGTCTTCTTATTTTCTAACTTGTATGTATATTGACGATGTCCAGGGTCTAACCCTTGTATAACATAAGAATTTACTATTTGATACACTGTAAACATAAACTCTACAAAAGTAGAAGTCATGAAAATTATCATGAAAAAGAATTAGAAGCGATTAATTACCAGCTTTCATCGATAAACAGTCATCTTTATTTACAATTCTCGTGGGAAAATCACATGAATGATACTGGATAAATGTTATGTTTAATAATTTTTATTTATCTATCTATTTTATTATTTTTTACCTAGTTATCCAAGGCCCAGGGGCACTTGCCCTAGTTTCCCTGGCCTCTCAGTTCCACTGTGCAGCGGTAGGATGGGGGTGGGGTGGGGGTGGTTGGTGCTGTGTGATCCCTATTGTACAATGATACCATAAAGTGTGTTGTTGATGGGAGAATGAAGAGAAGGGGGCAAACAAGATAGCTGTAGCAGTATGAAGACAGTTATACAAATATTGATTCTGCTTAATCCATTGAAACTACTAATAAATTGATAACAGTTCTTATTAAAATCTTTAAACCTTTTAAATAACAAACTTGTTTTTCTGAAACGTTATTGTTTTAGGCTTTAAAACCTAAAACGTAACTATCTGCTATAATAATATGTGCATTTTTATATATTGCTCTACACAACTAAATCTCAGTGTTTCCACATACTACTTGTAAGATTATTTAATGAGAATATATTTTGATAATTTCTAATAATAAAATCATTACCATCATTAACATCATCATGTTGGTTCCCATGCATAATTGTGTTGTTCTTGCCTATTATGTCATTCAAGTTTTGTAATGTAGGACATTTTGTTCAAACTCTAGTTGTATGTAAGGAACGAAAAAAACTGTTGTATATGTTTCCCCACACCTCCATTGAGAGGTATGCCAGTATATTGATTTAGAAGTATTATCTGAGAAATTACTTGAAGTGGCTTGTGCAAAAACATATGTTGATATGAGTATACTTGTAAGGCCAAATTAAAAAAAATATTGTGTTGGCCATGCCCAACCAACCCAAAGTGTACAAAATTGAGGTTCGGCATTTTAGTTTCCGTTTTTCTTTGACTACAATGAAATATATGTTTTTTTAATGAGCTAAAAAGGCTGGAATAAGACTATCTTGCTGGATGTTAGGTGATGTGAGAGTGTTATGCAATCGTTTTGCTTTTAAATATAGATTTTAAAATGGTCTTTGTTGTATTTTTGTGTATTATCAGCTTTTTAGGCATAAAAACATTTTTGGTTAGAAAAAAAAAAAGAAAAGAAATTTCCTACCAACCTATTCATTATTTTTATTTTCCCAAAATGTGGCCAACACAAGAATTTCTTTTTCTTGGCCTAACGGTGCATGCACAAATGTTAAAACAAGCATACTCATAGCAATCAACATGCTGCACAAACAATTTTTAATATCATTCAATTAATCAACCAACATTGTTTTTTTCAGATGTCATGTTTACACATTTTTCCTTTATCTTTTTCATTTTAACTTTTTAATAAGTACTGTTATTTTCTAAGTTTTAATGATTGTGAGTTTACTGTTTTAAAATTGAATTGATTTGATTGATTAACCCATCAATCAACCAAATAATTGTATAACCAATCAGTCAATCAAATGTTGCTTTGATCTGTTTATTTAGTGATTGCCATCACTTTACTTTCTACTTGGTTACATGTAGCATGAATACTACTTTATTGACATTACATTTTGTTATAGTTGTTACATTTTCTTATGTTCGATGGTTTACAATCAATTTCTGAGTTCCTTTTTCATTCAGTTTTCTACTTTCTCTCTACTTTTAATTTGCAAGCTGCAGACTGAGAGCCAGTCCAGTCCAGATGATGACAATGCCAGTTAGCTCAAGTTATCACACAGAGTTGCAAGAACAAATGGAAGGCTGCTCTGCGTCTTTTGGGTCTAATTAGCTGGTACAAGGGAAATCTGCAACTCTTTAACTATCATTCATTGGTGTTCTAACATTAAGTAGTAGTCCTGCATGTATTTGTGTTATTTTGAGGGCTCCCTGGTTTATTCTGATACATTTATTTTTTTGCTGAATTATGATAATAATAATTATAATATCGAATTTCATTCATGTTAAGCCAGAAAAAAGTTATTTGACTCCATAATTATAATATTATTGTTGCACATGAACATATGGGACTACTGCTTAGTGTTTGTTTAATTTCTTGGTTTTTTTGGCCAAATTTTTAAAAATGTGTTTTTTGTCTTTTATTTTTATATGAAATTTTGGGCCACATCTTTTTCTTTCACTTTCACAAATTACGGTATATATTAAAACATTCTGTAAGCAGTGAGCATCGATGTATGTCTAGCCCTTGCATATTGCAGGATGTACATTGGTACGTTGTTATATATACATTCTTGTTAAGGGGGAAAAAAGCTTAATAATTCTTTTTCAATAACCTGGACGAGAAACTTAAAATTTTTATTTGGCCTTATTTATCTAATTTACTTTCTAATCTTGATGTGCTGTTCTTTTGATAAAACTCACTCAGTTTGAATTTTATCATTTACTTACTTAACTCAGTGACACTGCACCACACAAAGAATGATGTGAAGTGGTCTTGAAAATAGTTGTATTGAGTTGATTGGAATTATTCTGTTATTTGAGCTTTCTATTATTCAGGGTAGAACCATTTGGTGACTACCACAACTTACCTAGGAGCCCAGATAGAAAAAAATAAGGAAAATATTTTTACAGGAAAATGTTTATAATATTTACGATATTTCAAAATTAACTATTAAAATCAGTAATACAGTAAACTACAAGAACTGAAATTATAGCAATAATATGATACAGTTTATTTCTCTGATCAGTCAAATTTCCAGCGTACTGTTTAGATTTAGTTCATTCCCTTCAACAACCTCTTGTAATAAGTGCTAAAACAGCCAAGAATGAAATTACCATATGATTTAGATGTGAACAAGCTATGTGTATAAAAGGTTTAATCTCCGGTGTTATGACTTACTCAGAGTTAATTTTCAGTGGATATGATTTATGACTGTTTGTTACGCTTGCGTTATTCCTGTGGGCATCATAGTAATATAGTAATTGTCAACAGAATTGTAATGTGTGTATCCTTACCACCCCGAGTTGGTTTATTTTATGATACATTTTGTAAGATACAGACAGTTTGAGCCCTAATTTTCTACCTTTTTTCCCTGACTACTGCTACCAAATTTGATGTCCCACTTTCTGTCATACTACTGTACTATACTTTTTCTCATACTGTATTGTGCTACTTATTGTAACTTACTTCTTATAATAACACCATACTGTTATAATTCTGCTTAAAAGTTACAACTGTGTTTTTTCAAAGTGTGATGCCCAACCTTTTGTTGCCTGAACGGGTCAGTCTTCTGCTCCTTAAGAATAATTGTACAGATAGGCACATGAATTATACATGCACAAACCGTGCATACAGTTTGAAATATGCTTTAATAATACTTACCTGGATTTTACAACTTAAGCCATTACTCAAGAGAGAACACAGCTAGTAAAAATAACCCAACTCATGATACCAAAACCCTCTCTGAGGATTCCATCACCTGTACACTGGATTTTGTAATGTCGCTTGCAAATTATGCAAATCAAATTTCTTGAAAGAATGTTTTAGAGGGAATCTAGTTTTATTGCATTGAGTCACTGAACACTAATACCTGCCACTAGGTGCACATTCCAGATTCCCAAAAGTTTTATTCTACATATGGAAATGCTAATGCAAATTGCTATTGTAAGTTTACCTAGTATGCTCAACTTAAACAATTAAAAAGGTGTTCTTTTGAAACAAAAATAAACATGCCTATCATCCACTGATTCTACATAAAAAGAAAGCATGTTGCTTTGATACCCTTTAAATAATATGTAAATTAGTTGAGACTTGCAAGCTTCAGAATTAACTGATGTATTTTTCTAATTACCAATAACAATATTTTACTTCTATATTTTAATAGAACATATTTTTTGTATAATTTTTAAATGATAAAGAAATAGATATATATTCTAGATTTACAGATCAATGTATATGTTATTGTTAGGAATATTTTTGTAGTTTACAATAATTTTGTTCATCTAAAAAGTAAAAACTATTTTAATTCTAAAATGTACAAAAGATATTCATTTTGCCTCATAAAGGTTAGTTCATCATTCCTTTGGAATTCACCAGATATTAACCACAAGGAATGGATGAATAATATAATAATATTTTTCTATCAAATTCTTTTTGTTTGTTAGTAAAATGATTGATTGTTTATGTTGTAAGGTAATAAGCGTCAGTGCCATGCAAGTCCTTGTCTTTCCCTTGAGTGTTTGTACTTACTCTAATTTATACGGTATTTATTTATTTATTTATTCAGCAATCTATTAATAAATAAAAAATAATGTTAACATATTGTCTAATTACATAATTACTTTGCTTTATCTACCAACTGTTTTCCTTTCATTTGTAATGATTTGTTATGCTGAAATATAATTAAAAATTAGTTTATTACTTTTTTTTAAAAATGTTCCATTATTTAAGTAAAACGAGTAAAATATGCAACACTTACCCAATATGGTTGCTAAGTAGATAGTTATAATTATTTAGTGCCAAGTGTCCAATATGGTTGCCAATGAAAGGTTATTGTTATATGCAACAATTGTACCATATGGTTGCTAATAAATTTATGCCAGCCTCATACAGAGTTGGATCCAGAAAGGAGGTGTTGTGGAATTGTCGTGGGCATGAGATTTTTACTCAAAAATTACCAATTTATTAATAAAATTTATTGATAAATTGATGCTAAAATACCAGCACATCTTTCTTTCACTCTTCCTTTTGAACTCCTGGATATATTACCACTGTTATATCCTTTAGTATTTTCTCTTTGTTAATATTAAAATAAAATATAAATGATTATTTTCAGTAATATATCCATTAAAGTGATATGGGATTTGATATTGTAATTAAAAATCTATATTAAGTATATTGCTTAGATATATACATTTCTTTTAATCAATGTAATAAACTGTAGAAAAAATATTATATTTATTAGAAACTCTAAATGTTGATTCTAAAGTTAAATTTTAACTGTAGATTAAAAAGATTTAATTGCTTAGATATATACATTTCTTTTAATCAATGTAATAAACTGTAGAAAAAATATTATATTTATTAGAAACTTTAAATGTTGATTCTAAAGTTAAATTTTAACTGTAGATTAAAAAGATTGAAAGATAACACAATATATATAATTTAGTTTTTTAATTTTTTTTATAAGATATGTAAATATTCTTCTGTAATCTTCTGTAGTGTTAGAAATAGAATTTGAAGAGTTTTTTTTTGATCAGCAGTGTTGTTATAATGTCATTTTAAACCTGTGGCACAGTGTTGTTATAATGTCATTTTAAACCTGTGCCACATTGGCCTCAGAAATCCTTGTAGCATACTTTATTAGATTTTAAGGTGGTTTAATTGACTTGCAGTTCAATTAGGTAGTAATGAAGTCGATGACTGTTGTTCACTTCATTGTTCAATCTTGTAAGGAGTCGATACGGATTGATGCGTTAGTCCTTTCATTTCTTCTTCACCTCAAATAATCGACCTTCTATTTACATAATGCAGTGTGTTGTGTGTTTGGCATACATGCTATGATGTTGTTAGAGTGTATTAATATTTTTGCTGTTTATTTAATGTTGTCACTAATAACCAATCTTGAGTCTAATTTTCCTAAAGAATCCTTTTCTTACTTGGATAGCAAAACGAGTAGCGGTGTCAGCAATCCAAGCATGAAAAACATGGAGGGGAGGGGTTGATTTTGAATCTGTACAGGTGTGTTCCCTTTGCCTACTCCCTCTCCTACCCCCTTCAATTATTAGCATACTTATACCATGTTTGCTACCATTATATAAGAGTGGCTTCCTCAGATATTAGTGGAATTTACTAATATTGCAGCTGTTGAATAACAGTGTTCATTCATAATTGTACCTTTTTAATCATTCTATTTTAATTTCTAACACAAGACCTTTTAAGTTAAATTTAATTTTGAATTACTATGTAAAGCACAACAATTGCAACAGTAGGGTACAAGTGAGGAAAGAGAGGTACAATATGGTACAGTAAATGAAGGTGGACGTACTCACTAATCAATGTTATCAAGCAATGGTTGTAATTTACATGTAGAAATACCACTCAAAATATATTAAATGAAATTACAATGTTCATTAAGTGTTATCTATTAATTATTATTCTTGCAAACAATTACACTGAGTAGGCCTACAGTACCATAATATGATTACCAAAGGTGAGAGCCGTGTGCAGTTTAGAAACCATTATAAAAACCAGTCTGGTAATTTTAGAGAAATCATGAGAACTTAAGTAAATGCTAACATTTTAGTGAGTTCATAATGTATTAAAATCAATAGGATTAGACTTTACATAACAAATCTAAAAATATTACAAAAAATTATATAGGAATTTTCATCTTCCAGTTATTACTAAATAGTATTATAATTAATTCCACTTATTACTTAATTAGTATTATGATTGATAAATAAGCACATTTGACCCTCATCTGTGCATATTAATTTTGATGTGAATGTAATACTTTGTAAGAATTTAGAACTCACTGCTTATGCAAAGATATGCAATTATTTATACTGTATTAAAGGATGCAGTATCAGAATGTTGATGTTTACTTTGTGTCTTTGGGTGTTGAGATTCTATTTACTAAATATGAATAAAACTACAAACACACATAACTACTGAATGTGTATTTACTTTATATACAGTGTGTAGCATACTGCATATCTGTATACAGTATATACTGTAGTAGATATAATAAAAAATAACCCTATGTTGCACATATGTTCCATATAAAATAACTGAGTGAGTCATAGATAAACATTAAAGAACAAAGTGGATGTGTTTCAAAATGTAATCTGTGCATTTTCCAAACATGTCAGAAATCACAAATCTCTGACTCCGTTATTATTGGCCTGTTCCCTACCATTTGATTACTGTCTCTTATACACATCTTAATTATTTAGTGCTAAGTGTCCAATATGGTTGCCAATGAAAGGTTATTGTTATATGCAACAATTGTACCATATGGTTGCTAATAAATTTATGCCAGCCTCATACAGAGTTGGATCCAGAAAGGAGGTGTTGTGGAATTGTCGTGGGCATGAGATTTTTACTCAAAAATTACCAATTTATTAATAAAATTTATTGATAAATTGATGCTAAAATACCAGCACATCTTTCTTTCACTCTTCCTTTTGAACTCCTGGATATATTACCACTGTTATATCCTTTAGTATTTTCTCTTTGTTAATATTAAAATAAAATATAAATGATTATTTTCAGTAATATATCCATTAAAGTGATATGGGATTTGATATTGTAATTAAAAATCTATATTAAGTATATTGCTTAGATATATACATTTCTTTTAATCAATGTAATAAACTGTAGAAAAAATATTATATTTATTAGAAACTCTAAATGTTGATTCTAAAGTTAAATTTTAACTGTAGATTAAAAAGATTTAATTGCTTAGATATATACATTTCTTTTAATCAATGTAATAAACTGTAGAAAAAATATTATATTTATTAGAAACTTTAAATGTTGATTCTAAAGTTAAATTTTAACTGTAGATTAAAAAGATTTAATTGCTTAGATATATACATTTCTTTTAATCAATGTAATAAACTGTAGAAAAAATATTATATTTATTAGAAACTTTAAATGTTGATTCTAAAGTTAAATTTTAACTGTAGATTAAAAAGATTTAATTGCTTAGATATATACATTTCTTTTAATCAATGTAATAAACTGTAGAAAAAATATTATATTTATTAGAAACTTTAAATGTTGATTCTAAAGTTAAATTTTAACTGTAGATTAAAAAGATTTAATTGCTTAGATATATACATTTCTTTTAATCAATGTAATAAACTGTAGAAAAAATATTATATTTATTAGAAACTTTAAATGTTGATTCTAAAGTTAAATTTTAACTGTAGATTAAAAAGATTTAATTGCTTAGATATATACATTTCTTTTAATCAATGTAATAAACTGTAGAAAAAATATTATATTTATTAGAAACTTTAAATGTTGATTCTAAAGTTAAATTTTAACTGTAGATTAAAAAGATTTAATTGCTTAGATATATACATTTCTTTTAATCAATGTAATAAATTGATTATAAGCAAAAGGAGTGACATATTTTAGTAGAATCAATTGTAATGCACTCTGTAAGATTATCTAGCAAATATTTCATAATGGTAACAAAAATGAGAGATATAAACACTGGCTCTGTTTTAACAGGACAGAGACAAAGATGTCTAATGCACCATATAATTGTAATAATGTCATACCAAAGCTAGGCCTTGCATTATCTTTCCTAAGCTCTGTGGATCACTGTGAGGAGAGCAGGCAAACATGGCTAGGAAGCGACCGAGTGTGGATGCTAAGCCTTTGGTAGTTTCAGTCTTGCCGATGCCAGTACCTCCCACCAACATACAGCCTTTCTGATTTTTCATGCACTGAAATAAATACAGCATTAGTTTATGTAAGAATTAAAAATACATTCAGCTTCTTCCATTTAATGTATTTGTTGAATAAAAAGTACTTACCATTGACATTGTGATGAAGCACCTGTCTCTTATACACATCTAGATGTGTATAAGAGACAGATATTGTTGTGTGTGTTTGCGTCAGTAAAATATCATAGGAGTGATGTTTAATCTTACATGATATTACATGATCTTACATGATGTTATTGTACCGAATACTCTTTACATTCCCAACGAATTTGCAAGTGATTCGGGTGGGAATCGAAAGCACAACTTTAAAATAACTAGTCTAGACTACCAAGCTTGTGCTTAGTGACTAGCATTGAATGCGATCTGAGGTACACCGTGATGCGATAGGTCTGGTTGTAAAACTAAAAATAATTTTTTAAATAAATTGTGGTAGCGAACTCCAAAAATTAAGGTTTAACTAAGTTGAAAAACACCCAGCATTTTCTTTGGAGAACTAGCTAGGCTATGTAGTGGATACCTTGCATCCCTTGATGGTCCATCAGTACTAGTAGATACTAGCATGTGTTTGATGATGATGTCTCATTGTGCCTGGGTGTTGATTGAAGGTACAGTATTGTAGATGTATGAATAGTTTAGAAGCTGGCTGGGTACCCAATACAAGTTTAACTTACTGTATTTGCTCTTCTGAAATTGCATATTTAGAAAGTGTACAATGTCAATGAATATGTATTGATGTTTTTGAAATACCTGATTGATTGATTGGTTGGTTGCTGTGTGATGAAGTGTTGTAAAGTTAAGGACACTATGAATTACTTGCGTGAAATATGTTGTATCAAGTGTCGCATTGTGTGACAGCAGCAGAGTGTAAATCACGCAATGCATCATCCCTCCTGTCTATGTGTTTGCTGTGGATTAACATTCGCTGCACTGGAACTAGAACATTGCTGCTTTGCATCCACTCAAATTCAGGTGAAGCTTCCAAAATATAATGTATTCTCGAAATAGATCAAGATAAAAAACGTGTAGTGTAGTAGTAGTAGCAGCATACTATGGAACTTACAGGGGAAGAGTAAGTAGAAACATGTTGAGGGAAATTGGGAAAGTCATTGATATCTTAGCATCCATACACATTATAGACTGATTGTTTGATCTTGCTGCTGTTGCGTACGGTGGTGAAAGGATTAGGTTTACCCAGGGCAGCGACATGGACGCTCCTATTTTGACCCCAAATTGATGAATTAAAAATTGTTTACCATACTCTCCAAATATTTTTCATAAACCAGATGATTCAAACAAATTTAAAACATGGTTTAAAAACTAATTTAGGTGGTTAGTTTGGTATGGTTTCAGCTGTTTCTTGCTGGGGCCAAATGTTGTTTGTAAAATATACTAGACAAGGGCAGTATGGGTCTTGCCTTCAAATCTGGGAACCTACACTTCTGCTATCCTTCCATTTCCATGTTGTTCAGACATCCATGAAAGCTTGGTTGTCATGGAGATAGCCTTCTAATCTGCGAATATTCTTACCCTTCTCCTTTGTGTACTTTAAAGTACGCTTTCATCTGTTGTTTACATTTGTGGGTTGAGGATAGAATATATCAAATTCCCCAAGGATCAAGTTCAATCCAAATGCAAGTCTCAATGCACCGAAGATGGGTTTGCAGTCCAGTGATTTGCAATTGACTAAAATCACTTTAAACCTTGCTTTCCATACATACACTATACATTATTGCCGACATCTTTCAGTGATGCTGATTGGTCGGTCGAATTGGGGAGCCTTCCCGATTGCGTCGGGGACTGCTACGCTTGTGCAACAATTGCGCAGAAAACACTGTAGCGACAGTGTAGTGATTTTATGGAAATCAAGCTTTTATAAATGTTGATAAATTGTGCACTGTAGCTGATTCTAACTGTTGATAAACATCTTTTATAAATGTTGATAAATTGTGCACTGTAGCTGATTCTAACTGTTGATAAACATCTTTTATAAATGTT